AGAACTACTTGCTGTATTGCCTCGAGGGTTGGTGTCTCATGCAGATGCAGGCTCCATTTTTGCTCGATCCACCAACCCCGAACAGTATGTGACTGGACTATAGGGGGGTGCATGACACCTGAACTGTCTTGAAGTCAGAGGTCAAAGGTCAAGAGGTCCTCATGGTCAATGCCGTTGATGACTCCATAACTCACGAACCCGCATCCTTCTACAAAATCCCACAGTTGCTGCAAGGTCAACGTCTGATCTTCAAGGTCCACTTATAAATTCTCACACCATCTGGTTTATGCTCTTCCGCTTTATCTCAGACCTTTGGGTGCCACGCGAAAACTCGTCTCGGTAACCCCACCCTCCATATTGCACACGTGTCCCACCCATCTCAGCCTCCTTCCCCGCCCCCATTACTCCGACAACAAATCGTTGGCAAGTTCTATTCCAAGGTTCACAACAGTCGGTGACGCGTGCGATCCTGTTGCCAATCCACCGGGAGACGAGAGCCTCCCCCCCACGCTATGGACAACAACGGATTTTTCCTGTTAAAGTTTTCTGGGCGAGATCGCATTTCGCTGGGGATTACAAACAGCATCAATCCAGACGATTGCCCAAATTGTGAAGAAGTCTTTCCTGTTTTTCACCACTGCCCCCTCCCCCCCGGGTCCTTCGCACTTGTAGGCACACAGTGATGATATCACCCAACCAGATTTAAGACTGAAGACAGGAAGATGTCTTCGCAATTCTGAAAATCGCCTGATGATGCAGGTTGAAAAATTACCAGTGAAACGTTGTACTCGAATTGTACATGTTGTGGGTTTGCTCTCCAACAGCAGTAACAAATTGGGACGTTTTTCTCACGTGTCAAACCTTGGCTGTGGTCGAGTGGAAGTGGGTTTACGACACATTTCCGCGATCCAACCCAAAGATAAGTTACCGTGAATAATATTGGTCGCGAAAGCCTTCGCGTTAAAGCAATGGATGTTGCTGGACGGTCCTCTGCTGCCCACCACGTAGCCACGCAGACTCGCAACATGCTACCTGCACATGGCAGTCACCCATCCAAACACTATCCACCAGCCTCAACCCTGCTAAGTGTCTGTGATATGATGGGATCGGGCGGATTCCAGGTGATATGGTAACAAGTTATACAGGAGTCTTGAAATGTGCACGGAATTTTTTTTTTCTTTTTAAAACGTGAAAGCCACGAAGAGGGGGGAAAAAAACGTGCTTTAAAACAAGTTGTTCTGTGGAAACCTGTTTGCAAATAAGAATGAAGTCAGACCCAAAGCGCTACACGCAAAGATAAATATATGCAAGGAGCAATCGCAAACGCCCCCACACATAGCAAAGCCACCGCTAAAGTTGTGCCACGTCGTTCTAGATGCAAACAGGAACTTGTCTGCAGATCTCGCACGCCAGCCAACCAGCAGAGCCAACCCAGTCATGGATGACTGCCAGAGAGGGTATTACATGGCTAATCATTAGCGCACTACACACTGCCTTATCGCTGTGCAAACATCGACTCCTCTTTAGGTGGCTCAATGTCCGCTGTTCACAAAGCATTCTCCGCAGCCCGACCACGACCTGGCAAACGCAAATCGACCTCAGCAAATTGACCTCGCATTGTTGACAGACCATGTTGCATCGAGTTACGTCTTCCAGGTGCATCCTGGAATATGTTTACATATACATGTTTGCGTATATATTCATAAAGGGGGTAAAAACTTATGTCGCACTCTCACCATGGACACCGTTCACTTTTACTCTAAGAGGTTCGTATACCTGTACAAGTAGAACCTTTTTTTTGGTCAATCCATTGAAGGACGAGGGCCACTCCACAGCATGGTGCGGGTGGTCGTGGGAGTTACTCGACCAAAATTCACCGCACTGGTCAGTACGGGTTAGTGGGGGCCAGGAGGGTACATGTGTAGCCACGATGGCGAGATGTGAACTGCCTCCTCGCATGGTATACAGGTCGTGGGTTCAATCCCGACCCTGACACCAGCTGTATATTATATTTATGCTATCTAACACAAAAAAAAAACCTTTTATGGATATTGGTTGCGAAAGCCTATGTGTTAAACTGTATATTTGGAGTTTGCATGTTCTCCCCATGGTTGCGTGGACTTTTCTCTAGGTCCTCCGGTTTTTCCCTCCACCTTTAGAAACATGAACTTATGAGTATTTGTCTGCTCTGTATGTATGCTATAAATTTCCACCACATGATAAGCCACTTCGTTTAGCTATCGTTTGTGGTCAGGTCACTTCTCAAAAAAGAGCTATGTCGCTCAGTGGGACTTAGCTGGTAAAAAAATATATCTAGTTCAGTACAATAAATTTTGCTGCACGGCACTCTCCCGCTCACCAGGTAATCCTGCAAGCAAGCCCTATGATAATTTAATTATGTATGGTGGTGATCATTCCTAGCACTATGCAGATTCAAGCCTGCTTAGCTTTGGAGATGTAATGAGATGGGAGGGAGGGCATTCCTGGTGGTGTAGTCACTCAGAGACTTCACTAAACTCAAGTCTCCCTTAACAAACGCTGCAAAAGGTTACAGCCTGAAACCAGTGCACACAGACCAAAGATCAGAATGGGGGGGGGTAGATTGTTCTTACAAGTGCCGTTAGCAAGTGGCATATTAATGTCGTAATGACACGGGCGGCATGGTGGAAGAGCCAGTACCAAAGACCACCTTTAATATTTGCAGGGCTGACATTGACTGCACACGTGGGTACTCGAGCCAAAAGGCTGACTAAATAAAAAAAAGTGTATTATTTTCCCGTGGCGAGAAAGAATGGAAAGTTATATTTGAGTGCGTCGAACTGTATTTGCTTTACCCACGATGCTCCATAGCAAGGCGTAAATGAGTTGGTGTACGACACTGCACTCAGCATTGCAGTCATTTTAAGCTCTCCTCAACTTAGACGAGGGGCAGGCCAAGTTCATAACAACTGCTGGGAGTGTGACGTCGAACCGATTAAACCACATTGATTCTATTCTCAAGTTCATAACACACAAATCTAACCACCTGTGTAAACATCCATTATTTTCATTTTGTATGCGTTGTAGGTAATGGGTTCACGGGACTTCCCCCCCCACCTCCATCCTGCACACGAGAGACCACTACATTTTCTAGTGTGTAAAAAAAGGTTAAGATTATTTTTGATTGAACCACGACCCCTGAATCTGAACAATGTATTAAATTACGAGCTTGCGATAGTGAAATGACACACCCCTACCAACGACCACTGTTGTTACCCAGAAATTGAATGTACATGAACCAACAAAACACACCCTCCTTGACAATATAGTACAATGTGGATTTATATAGCGTCTAAGCATAACTGCGTTTCCAGAAGATGTCCAGACACTGTGAGCATGTTTATTTTATAGAAAGAAAAGAGCCAGTCAAAGCCAAGGGAAAGGTTGCAAGTGTGAGCTTGAGCAGGTAATCGGCAGCATGAACGGCTAGAGAAAGGGAGTGATAAGTTACGTACACTAACCGAACAATGAACTCTGATCTCACTTGACCAAAAACAGCCACTATGAACACTCGTCACCTGTCAATGTGGCACCGGCTACGTTCTGGCCAACCGAAGACAATTAAAATATAGAGAAACTGTACTCAAGGCGTGCCGCTTTGAACAACCTGAAAGGTCACCTTTTGCTTTACTACCCGTGCTGAAAAACAAAAATAAATAAAAATCAGGAACTGCTGCTCTCTGAAGACACACCGGAGCCATTTGCACAATGCATCACCGCACTAATGCTGGCTTGGAGAAATTTCACTTGGAGAGTCACCAACGCCATTTTGCCACTGTGGCGTCCACGGTGGCAAGATGTTAACTACCTGGCCTGGTATACAGGAGGCCGTGGGTTCAATCCCGACCATGACACCTGTATATTTGTAGTTTGCATGTTCTCCCCATGGTTGCATAGATTTTTCTCCAGGTCCTCCGGTTTTTCCCTCCACATTTAGAATGACACGTTTAGAGTATTTGGCTGCTATGCATTTCCACATAAGCTACTTCGTTGAGCTATAATTTCTGTTAGCCAGGTCACTTCTGACAAAGAGCTGTATAGCTCAGTAGGCCTTACCTGGTAAAATAAAAAAACAAATTTTAGTCAACAGTCAGGTAAAAGTATTTAAATAGAGGGACAGAAATTAACTCTAAGATAAAGCCAGGTGAATAACTGACACAGGTGAATGACTGACACAGGTGAATGAATACTATGGAACATGATCTATTTTTGTTAAAGGGTTAGACCATGTGGTAATATTAAGCCAAACTTCCTGTCATTAACCCTCCACCACCCGACAAGATTTTCACTTTTTTTTTAATAAATATCTTATTTATGTATTGGTCAAATTCTAATCAATAAAGATTATTACCGGTGGCTTGAGACAAACGTTGGATGTTGATGTCAACCAAAATTACCATGTGTTATCCCGCAATGTGTGTGGGTTTTCTCCGGGCAATCCCGATCCTTTTTACAAGTGTGTACAAGAACAACGACTTTGCTTGCGACAATTCCTATGCAAGAATTATACATTTGCATAGCGAGGTGGGCCAGCGGGCTCAGGGGTCAGAGCAGTGAGCCCACACCGCCGCCAAGGTCCTGGGTTCAAATCCGGGTTTCAGCCACCTGTAGTAAAACCGGAGTCTCAGCCAGGTGATCATCAATGACTGTATATATATATTTTTAATATATAGTTTTTCCTTAATTTAGTAAAATTCTTAATTTAAGAATAAATAATACATTTTACAATAATTTCACAAACATTACTCTGTAGCAGAGTGTGTTGATGAAAACGTGGCCACTTGAAGGGATTTCGGAGGTTCTCTAACACACAGGTTTGCAATGCCCCACGACGCCGAGGATGCAACCGAACCAAAAACTGGAAAGACAAAAATAAAATAAACCAACCAAACCACAACCGTCTACTCCGGCAGCTGTGAGCATGGCAGGGGGGGGGAGGGGGAAGCGTTAGCGACACTCACTCTTCGTGACGGAGTTCGTTGATGGAGCGGTCGAGTGACACCTCGTCGCTTGCCACCATGTTGAAGCCGAACTCTTTAATGCTGGCTGGCACCAGCTCCTTCTTCTCCGGCGACAGCACCACCGGCTTCCCCTCCTCGCCGGGGCCGCCGGGCACGCCGGGGGCCTCGCCGTTCGGCAGCTCGAAGTTGCCCAGGACGCCCGGCTTCAGCACGGGCGCCGGGTACTTCACCTTGTTTGGCTTGAACGTTAGGTACTGCTTGTTGACGGCCCGCTTGTGTTCGGCCGCGTCGCCTCTCGGATGGAAGCGATCGAGGGGTTCTTTGTCTCCGCCGCCGAGACCGTCGCCATCCGGCTTGGGGCCTGGCGCTCCATCCTCGCCGGGCTGTTCCCGCTTGTGCTTCTGGCGACGGATGTTCTCGAGATTTACCTCCAGCCCGTCCACGTGCGGCCAGGGAATCACAGGTCGGAATCGATCCTCCTGAGGCGGCTTCGGAAGCTCGTTCAGCTCCCTCTGCTGCTGTTGCTGCTGCTAGACACGCACGTCCAAGGCATTGCGGACATAAGGATATTAATTATCAGGGCAGTGCTGTTAATTAACCATGCTGCTGATACCACTGATGTTCATGAATTACCAAGGCAGGTAATCGCAACGGCAGGCCTGTTGCAGATGGCGAATCCAGTTCAAGGTTGCCACATTTGAGAAAAAGCTTCTGGGAAACATTAATTTGGAACAGAGCGCAGGGGCTGATTGATTAAGTGTTACTAGCTTTCAGCGATGTAAACACACACGCATGAACTTTAATAATATCCAAGTGGAAGTCCACGGAGACAAAGCTCATTAAATCCTAAAGCCTGAGATAGCTAAAAGATGCCAGTACAGCAAAATTTATCCTTGTTTTAAGAGTTTTCAATGTTATTCCTGCACGTGTGGATGTTTTTCGGGTACTTTCTTTTCCCACTCACTTACCAAAACAATAATAAATGGAATTGGATAAATATCTTAAGGTAGTCAGGCCCTCCTGCAAAACACAGTCTTGCGATTCACGAGGCTCTGTGGTTAAAGGGAATCATATTTAGTTATAATTTCCTACACGTAATCATTCGTTTGCACAAGAATGCGCTCACAATACGATAGAAAAAGGCATGTTTACTACAATAAATGAAACATTCCAAATATATGACCTGTGTAACATTACAGGTGCTGTAGAGCAAACAGACCAAGCACTGTTGCATTTCACTCACCATTGCTGGCCAGCTGACATTCCGCAAACAACATATATATGCCATAGGTAAATATTGGAAACCATTTGCCAGGAAACTTTTTTTTGCTAAATCTCTGTATCCTGCTTAAGAGTGCAGTGGCGTGATCTTGAGAGCAATGAGCAAACTGCTTAAGTGTCCATGAATGCAAAAGTGTACACGCGGCAGCCCCGACAAGACCGGCTATAACTGGGATGAAGAGGGAATGAAGTGGAACATGATGACTCTTAACAAGGTCTCCATTGCCACTGCATGAACACAGTAGGCACACTCTTCTGATGGTGAAGTGGCATATACAACAAACATTACCGTGTATATAACTGTATACACAGACACTCAAAAAGTGAAAAGGTACACGGAAAATAACTATTCTTATATTCGGGGCATGAGGAGGTGGTGGCGGAGTGGGTAAGTGTGTCGTTCAACGAACCTAGCAACCAGAGTTTGATCCCTGACCACAGCTAACAGCAACGGTAAGTGATGTCTGACCTGGTCCTGGATCCATCCCGCCTTCACCACCCTGCACTGACCAATGTGGTCAAGTATGGTCAAACCACCCCTATTACGGACACGCCCGGAGGAGGCCCTCAATTAGCACTTGACAAAAGGCTGTAAGTTAATATACACCGCACTTTACTCTGGACAATATTGTAGTTTGATATCAAACCTCAACTAGTTTTCTTGCAGTGTTCTGCAGGGAAATGTAATATCACTCAGGCCGCTTTTTTATAACCAGGTGCAAACAATTCAGGTAAATTAGCGGTTTTGTTATGGAAGGAACATGGGGGAAAAAAAAAGAAATCCTCGGTCATTATTTGTATCAAATTTCTCATCCATGCCGATGTTGCTGGTGGGAGAGAGGACATTGTGCAATGCATAACTGTGGCGGGGCAAAACAGAGCAAACAAAACCCCTCCCTGTTCAGCACCAAGTTGAGAATTATGCATCTACAGGGCACAGAAAAAATTTGGTATGCCTATGCGGGTCACATGCCACCGTTGTTCTTAAACGCAATTGGTTACGGGAGAGTTAGATGTGCTCAAATGCTATAAAAACTGCAACTACTGTGAACATCGCAGGTAAATATGTATACTCTTCAACCAACCAGTAATGACCAGCGTGGGTGGGGACGTATGGTCAAACGTCTTCCACGACTGATCGCCACGTAGTGAGGCAGTCAGTTTACAAAAGGGCTTCTACGGGACAATTTTTAAACGATACATACCGAACAGGATATGTTAAAAGGCAGTGTATGTAAATGTACAGTATTCTACCTGCAAGGCATACCGGTTACACGTGCTTACACGTGCAGGGATTTGAAACTTAAACACTGACAAAATGACACAGATTTACACTTTAAAAAAAAAAACCTTTTCAGCAAAATCGGTCCTCAATTGGCCTTTACAGTACATTCCTTGGACAGTCAAGAAAGTAGATGTTTTAAAGACCATTCTCCTGCATGTTGTGAATGCCATATAACTTGAGGCCACTAAAAGTTTCCCTTGTGGTTTGGGTTTCTAAACAATTCAATGGCTGTACTTAGCATCATAATCATCATCATCAGCCGGTCATCTACTGCTGGAAGATGGCATATCTTAGGCTCACACCCCATCTCCCTAACTTACGTTTAAAAAAAATAATCTCTCAAAAGCTACCGGTCAATCAGATCTTGGACAAAAGGCGAATTGTGTGGTTCCGAGTTTGTGTGTGTGGGGGGGGGGGTTGTCTTCTTAAGTCAAGGACGCGTTAATATATGTGTAATAACAAGTTATTAAACGTTACATTGGTGCGTGTTCCGACACGTTCTAAACAGGGAGGAAGAGGTGGCAGGCAGGACGAGGCTAAGACGACGGAGTTGTGGCAACCCAAAAGGTAAGAAACAAGTCACGGCTGGACCCTCTTCCTCCTCCTCCTGCAGCAACCACCACCACCGTCGCCAGGTAAGCTCCATGGGGGAACGCAAAACTAATAAAAAGAGACAATCGGTATTTTCTTAAGGATTCATTAAGTAAGGAAAGTAACAATGGGTTTCGTCTTGCTTAGTAGTAGTGAGGGCTTGCGCTACATGGTGAAGTGTAACCATGGCGAGGCCGCCAGAGGACTGGCCGGACGGCTGGGGTTGGCATTCAGCCAGCAGTGGCTAGATCAAGGCTAATTGTGATACAAGTTAAAAAAAATAATGACAAGCCAGTGATCAATGCGATCACCAGCAGCATCATCATCATCATCAGCCCATGATCAATCCACTGCTTGGCATAACCATATAACACCGGCATACATTAACACAAAATATCGTACGCTTTAAAATAAATTACGCACCAAGCAAAGCGATATCATTGCAAAAGAGATTTTTTTTTCGCGTAGAATTTTAAGGAAGAAAACAAAAATGTCATTAAAGCAAACGTTGATCTTTTAACGCAGACACACATTGTGTCACTTTACGGGCTTCGTTCCGCCCGAGCCCCAAGCCGACGGCCTGCATGCAGGCTGCGGCAGTTTTCCCCAGGCAAGGCCGGCTCAAAATCGGACAACCCACAGATTGCCGACAAAGCGGCCGTCATCATTTTGCCAAATAAATGTTATTTTAAATTTAAACAAACAAAAAAAAATCACGTATTAACTGCACAGTGAAAGGTGTCCACCGACCTGTTCTCGTGCGTCTTGCCGGGGCGGGCTGTCCCTCTGCCCCGTGAGGGAAGACCACAACACGAGCAAAACGAAGAGCGTGAACCCCGTGATGACACTGCGCAGAACGACTCCCACTTTAAGTCGCATTTTAATTCACTCGTTATTCCGTCCACCCCCCCACCAACCCCCCCCCCCCTTCTTAAAGTTTCAGAGGCAAATGATGGAAACGGCGTTATTTTATTAGACGTCAAAACAAAATAAAAGGTGGTGGTGGTGGTGGCGGTGGTGGGGGGGGGGAGAGATGAGCGGGCAAAAGTGTGCGCGCTGCCGCCGCTGCCGCCGAGACACGCACATGGAGCGGTCCACGGAAGGGCGACCGGCGCTTTTAAACGCCCGGGGAGGCGCGATGCTAAATATGGACCCCCCCCCTCCTCCTCCATTCCCTACCATAGCCCTCACCCCGCCCCCTGGCCCAAACCTCCAGGTGGCAACAGCGGATATTGGGGGTGGGGGGGGAGGTCTCTATTTGGTATGACCTAAATCGATTGGATTTGCTAGAGCGGATAAGCCGGGCGGCGCGATTCGTGCAGGCTGCCAATGCGGCGTATGTGTTGTGGGGAATGTTAGACCGTGTGTGACAGGCCGTCACACGTGTCACATACCTGGCCACAAGTTGTGGGTGTTGGTTGAGACGTGTCAAGTTGGATCTTTCCCCCCCCCTCCCTCCCGCAACCAAACGATACGGCGTGCAAACACGCAAATAGGGCGGCGTAATGGTTAGCGAGCTGCTGGGCTTGACATCTTGGAAGTCGGCCCGTACGATCTTCCAGGCACGGTATATGAAACAATGGACACTGTTTGTTATATTGTTTAAACTCCACCCACCTCTGTCCACCCAGTAGTACAGTAGTATATATATACACACACCTGGGGTAAAGTTCAGGTAATCCCACCTCTTCCAAGATTGTCAGGCTAACGCGGAAGAGGAGGCCAAATACCCTCGAGTGTGATTGTCTAGAACTGCCTCTATAGTTGGGGGGGGGGGGTACCTAAGAAAGCCACAATTAGTCTCAAGACTCCTCTTCAAGAGGATCCTGCTTTGGGATATTTAGTACATTACTTATTTTTGTAATAGTAATAGGTTTTTACCCTTTTACCTATCTCGGGTGTGGACCAATCAATTCCAAGGACAGTGCAAACATCAGAGTTGTCTTTTTGTTTGAATTTTGACCGCAAGTTTTGTGGTTAATGCAAACATGATCCCTTGTATAAAGGTGTCAGTTTTGTTGCCAGGTAAAAGGGTAAAAACCTATTACTATATCTTGCTACTGGCAAAGGAGGTCTCATAATGTAAATACTTGTTTTTGTATTACAATGCTTATTATCATGCGGTAAAGGTAATTCATGTATTGAGGAAAATGCTCAAGACTATTTTTTTTCAAGAGGGTGCCACATTGCGATATTTCGGCCGATTCCATTAATCAGAGTTTGGCTTCATGTAGGAGGTGATGACCCATACAATGCTAGGGGTTAACACTCACAAGCTGTACACGAATCGGTGCAAACATACATTTTTATGTACTACCATCTACATGGCCAAATCACAGCCTCACAGGGTTTAGGAAATCTGCTTGATCTACCAACTCTTACCTCTAAAGTGTGGGACCACAGGCATGCGCCACCACACCCACGTTTTAATTCTGGGCTGGACTGTCTGAAACTAGTTCGTTTGATGCTTCATCGGTAAAGGGAAAAAAATACGTGAAAAACATTCGGGTCAAGCGAGGTGGCTGGGTGGCTTAGAGGTTAGGGCGCTGAGCTGGCACTGCTTAGATCCTGGTTTAGAATATTAGGTCAAACTCAAGTGTCAATTGTTACAGGTGTATGGACTCAGTCCAATCACCGATGACTCTCTACAGATTTGGCTCAGAATTTTTTTTTTAAAATTATATATATAACGATAAAAGTGTTATCTTACGTGGCAGGATGGATGACAAGGTGCTGAACTTTCTGCTGTTGGAGTTTGCGTGTCGCTCTCCCCGTGGTCGCGTGGATTTTTCTCCGGGCTCTCCGGTTTTTCCCTCCACATTTAGAATCAACGTGCGTTTAGAATATTTGGCTGCTATACATTTCTACATGATGATAAGCCACTTCGTTGAGCTATCATTTGTGGCCAGGTCGCTTCTGGAAAAAGCTATATAGCTTACCTGACAAAATACAAAAAAATACTGTAGTTATCAGCATTAACTTGAAGGGGCCGCCGAAAGTAGTTCTCTTAAATCTGCTTCCGTGGGCCATTCTCGGAGACAGGAGGTTTGCCGCTGCTCTGCAAAATATCCGAATGGAGACTACGCCTCGTGGCACGGCGCGGGTAGCACAATCGGGATAAGATTGGGGGGAACCGATTATGGTGAGGTGCGCTGCCATTTGGCACCATCGTGACACCACTGCATCGCGGTGATGTTCTCCACAGTGCCATAATGACAATTTCAGCTGTAAATTGAAAGTATTTCTTTTATCAAAAACGAAGTTTCATACGTCGTTTCTAACAGACTGAGACACACATACTCTCGGTGTGTATCTACTAAAGAAGATGCGGTGTTTGTTTTTGGTGTTGTTTTCCTTTGACACGCCAGAGAGGCAATTAAAAGCCACTTTGTCTATGTCTGATAAAAAAGAGAAAATACTTCTACCCTTCCTGGCAATTAATACAGTTGTTAAGATGTTTAAACACCAAATAGACATCTATCAGAAGGCATCAAGTCTGCATTAACTAAACATAATTGTGGTAAACATGCCAACAAATATGCTTTGATAATATACACATTGTCCTTGAAACTGATTGGCCTTCACCGGAGACTTTATGGCCTTGTCTCACAAGTGTTCGACCAGAGAATGCCAAAAGGCGAAGAGTACAATGGACAATGGAAACGCCAAATAATTAATATCCAAGGTTCAGCAGTTATATCTATGAACATTTTAACACCTCCATTGTTTTGTATCATCTTGATATTGACAAAAAAGGGTCCCATAGATAATGTCTACGTCTGTTATGTTTTTGTTGCGAGTGAGACCCGTGGTGCAATGAAATAAGACTTTAATTTGCAGGCATAACCTGTGTGTAATAACACATTGTTTTAAAAGTGCAACAGCTGATTACGTTTTGACAACGAAAACGTTTATCTTTTCCACGTACAAAAAAAACGAACACGTTAAATATATTCCTACTTTTTCATGCAGAGCCGAATAGAACACGGATGGACCCAGAACTGTCAGAAATAATAATCCAATACTGTACAATGTTTAAAATGACTGTGTATTTGTGTGTGTAGGTATACTCTTTTGTGATATGCAGCCCCTGAAAACCATCTCTTCCCATGTAACGTGCTGGCTACCGTCATATCAGCCGTTTTGGTCAGGTCAACGCTGATATTACAAAAACTTCTTCTTACCCAAAATAAACTGACTGATACGTATATATCAGCGAAAATCAAACGGCAATCTGGGGATTTTGTAAGCATGGCCGTGCGTGTAAGCGTGTTTAGTAGGGTCTGGTTTGATGTTTAAACTTTCATTAAGATGTTTAACAAAATGTGTGTTCAACTGAAGCCATTTCCAACAACAATCCTGCCCTTAGCTTCGTAAATTTTTGCTGCAGCTTACATTACACCTCCAGCCATACCAATACGTGTATCCCACTCGAGTCTGCACCAGAAGTGCACTCTCGCCTGAACCTGAATCCTAGTCTCGCTAGAACCTGAATCCCAGTCTAGTTAGAAGCCGTATCCCATACTCAATTTAATCTAAATCTACTGTAGTGTAAGTTAAATTTTATTTCGTTTTGAGTTTGAATCCCACGTGAATCCAAGTTTAAATACTGATACATTCTAACTCTGAATTCCACCATGATCTTTATTCTACTCTAACGAGTCTGAATCCCACTCTACTCTGAGCGACACACTAAACAGTGAAATGAAATTCTCGGGGCAATTAAAAAGTGGCCACTTACAGACCAGACACTCGCGTACAGCTGCATATTTGTACGTATCGTAATATATTTATATTATTATCCTTCCGACGTTTTACCCACGCGCGTCACGGCTATGTATAGCCTCTGCGCCTTACACGTGGCAATACCGCATTCGGCCTTCTCACGGGAGCCGCACCTGTGCACACCCCCCCCACCCACAACGACTCACCACTGCCGTCGTACAACACGCTCGTGGCCAGGTAACCAGGTGCAAAAGGCATGCGGACACAACAGGGGTTGTAGGAGGCGACGTCAAGTTAAACAATTCATTACCTGATAAGATAATTAAAGCTTTCGTGACTGCATAAAATTACTCATTGGTTTTTTCGGTAAAGTCACGTACGTTTTGTTTTAATGTAATTGTATTGTTATTTCTACATACGTGACTTTACCGAAAAAAAACAATGAGTAATTCATTACTTTACAATGCCATGTACCCGTGGTTGCCAACTGTCCCGGGTTTTTTTTTTCCTCCAAAATGTTTTCTTCATTTCTCTGAAGTTGCTTTCGTAGTAATTTACGCCTCAAGACCGCGCACTTATTATGTAGTTGTCCCCCTTTTCGGCATTGTGAGATATCATTCTTCTCTATCACACGTCCTGATTTTTGTACCCGACATGTAGAAACCATAACTATATCCGCATACGCGTTAAGGGTAAAAGGTGATCGCTGCCAAATGTCGCAATCCTATTGGTGAGCTCACAGGACGGTCATCATATGGATGGGCTGGTCTCTGCCACAGCAACGTGGAATTTCATTCACTCGGTCACAAATGACACCCAACGTTCATTTGAGCGTTGAGAATTTTTTTTTACTCATACCGTATACAAATTTACAACATATTTATTTCATACTGAGGTGGAGTGGTGGGGTCGTGGTTAGTGCGTTAAGCAATGAACCTGACTACCCGAGTTCATATTCCTCGCCTTGGCCAGTGGCGTAGCCATCGAGTGTGCAGGCGGTGCAGCTGCACCGGAGCCCATTTGAACTCGTCCTGAGTTCTCTCTCATTTCTCAAACCCGCACTGACCAGCGTGGTGAAGTATGGTCTAAACAACTATGGCCAATATGGCGTGTGGCGAGGCCTTCATCCAGCAGTGGATTGACAAAGGGCTGTCAGTTATAATTTATGATACACGTGTACGCAGTTCAATTATATCTTGATTGGACTGACAGACTGAATATGGGTTCATAAAAATGAACCATGTGGTCAGTGGTGGATCCAGGGAGGGGGCGGGGGGGGCAGGGGGGGGGGCAATAACCCCGCTTAGGAAGCTTCCAGATCCGCATTTGGTAATCGAGGAGATATCGAGGTCTGAATCTTTACACGGTGACTAGGAACAGAGAAGTAGGACTCCAATTCGAAAGCTGTCATAGTCATAATCAGCCATGGACTATCT